AGGGCTCACAGGGATGATGAATGGGGGCTGGAGGCCTTGGAGGAGGCAGAACGAGAGGGGGAGGGATAATAGGGGAGGGTGGCCTGCAGCAGGCAGGTGACACCCATACAGTGATAACACCAAGGAGGGCATACATAATGCCCAAAAGCCCTGCGCAATAAGGCGGTTTGGGGCGAGGAAACGGTCCAGAATGGTCAAAGAGGGGAATTAGAGACTAGATAGGGGCGTCGCCCACGATTCGGGGTCTGTCATAGCCGAAAGGCTCGGTATGGACGTTAAACTTGCGCAAGAACTTCGGCCTAACTTATCGACTGCCTTGATATTGTTCCGAACTTCCGGCAGTAATCATTCCGTGCCTCCTAACCATGTGGGTTGAGCACAACTGGGGAATATACATTCACGTGGTTATTATATGATTATATGGACACTGAAGGGGAAAAGCCTAGTAATCGAGCTCTGTATAAATTGCCAGGAGCCGGAGAGTACTTTAAACTAAACTTTATACAATTTCTGTTTTTNTTCCCCCCCCCCCCCCCCCCCCCCTTTCCTGTTGCCATCGGACTGTCTACCTCCTTAGAACCTGAAGGCAGAAAAGATGACACCAAAGCAAGAGGGCAGGGTGTACACAGTAACAGGCGCCGCTTCGGGAATTGGCCGCGCAACCGCCGTCAAGCTCGCAGAACTCGGCGCAGCAGGAATTGCTATCAGCGATGTCAATGAAAATGGACTGAAAGAAACAAAGGCACTATGTCAGTTGACACGTCGCACCATCACCCAGTCTCAATCCCCGGACCAATGCATGAGCACATCAAAGCCATCTAACGCATAAATAAAAAGGCGACAAGTTCGGGACAAAGATCACCGTATCACGAGTCGATGTCAGCAATGATGAAGAGGTGAAGGAATGGGTAAACAGCACAGTCCGCACGTTTGGCCGGCTCGATGGCTGTGCCAATGTTGCTGGCATCGCGGGCGGCGATGGCAATACGACGACAGAGACGATCG